GAACACTTCCAGGCATGGTGACTCCATCACTTCCCTGGGCAGCCCCTTCCAGTGATTAGCCACTCTTTCTATGAATAAACTTTTCCTAATATCCAATCTAAACTTCCCATGGCACACCTTGAGGCCATTTCCTCTTGTCCTGTCACTTGTTACCTGGGAGAAGAGGCTGAACCCCTGCCTGGCTACAACCTCCTGTCAGGGGGTCCTAGAGTCCTTTTCTCCCAGCTGACACCCCCAGCTCCCTCAGCTGCTCCTCATCCAACCTGTGCTCCAGACCCTTTCCCAGCTTTGTTATCCTGCTCTGGACATGCCCCAGCACCTCCAGGTCTTTCCCATAGTGAGAGGCCCAAAACTGGACACAGGGTTTGAGGTGTGGCCTCACCAGTGCCCAGCACAGGGGGACAATCACTGCCCTGTCCTCTGGCCACGCTGTTTCTGATACAGGCCAGGATGCCACTGGCCTTCTTGGCCACCTGGGCACACACTGGCTCATGTTCAGCCACTGCTGACCAGCACTCCCAGGTCCTTTTGTGCCTCATGCTGTGTATTGATCAGTGGGACTGTCTTGACACACTTGCAGCAGAGACTGTGAGTATGCAAAGGGGCACAAGTACATGAAACATGAATAAATATTTTCCCATTCTGCTCCAGTTTGCATACTGAGCCCCAGAAGTGCAACACACCTCCTTAAAAGCATAAATAAATGGCTACATACACTTCACAAAACTTGATACCATCTTCTTTTCAAGACACTTCCTTCTTCCTTTTATTTATACTCCAACATTTCCTTCTCTCTTAAACTGTGGTCTTTGCACTCTATTTTTGTCCCAACTACCTTGTAATCTTCTCAAGCCAGGGACTTTCCTTTTGACTGCAAAACTGACCTGTATAAATAATCACTTCACAGAGACAAAGCATTCTTTTACCATAACAGTAAAAGAAATACCCTGGAAAAGCTTGTTTTGATCCATGTGGCTTTCTTGTTCACTGCTAATAAAAGGTGATAGAAATACCAAACAGGCCTGAGGGCTGAGATCAGGCTCGTTTGGGCACTCTCCTGGTGCTGAGGGAATGCAGTGGATTTAGATGGATGACTGAGGACTCGCTCCTGCGAGTGAGTGATTGAAATGTCACTGTGGGTTCAAGCTGCTCGGTGCACGAACAGGACAGAGGAATCTGAAATGGGAACCCACAGATCAGGCAGTGTTTGTGCAGTGGTGTGCAATGGCTGTGTGACACACGCAGGCCCATCGCCCGTCCGCTCCGAAAGTGGCGACAACAGTTTCACATCAGGAATGGACTCCATCATTCCCAGGTAACTGGAGGCAGCACTGCTGCTTTTAGCAGAGCAGTTCTCTCCACATCCTTGGGAAAAGAATTAAAAAGCAATTTCTTTGGGTATCTGAAGCCACAGTTCTGTGCAGTCTCTCATTTGGAGAATCCAGCCTGAGCAACCACAGTTCTATTACAGGCTGTGGCTTCCCAAGGATGGGACAGCTCAGGCATCCACCCAACATCAGTGAGTCAGTGGGACACCCAAACCAGTCTCTAACCTGTTTAAGAAACTTCTGATAACATTTTATGTTAGAAAGAAATATTTGCATAAGTGTGAAATTGCCATTTCTGTCACTGTATGATTCAGCATCAGGGGCTGGATCCCCTCTTCTGGAAGCCTGGGGGTCTCCTTTGGCTCTTCAGTTTCCTTTTCTACATTTTATCAAACTTCAAGCTCCTCCTTTTCTGAGCCACCTGATCTGAGTCCTGCCTTGCAGGCTAACATCTCCCAGATCCGCAAAGACACCCACTTGCAGTGAGGTGGGGTGTGCTTTGGTCTTCTCTGGGTGCATTCATGTCAAAATCTCAACTTGTGACGTGGACATGTATTGTCTAACACAGAAAAATGCTCATAAAGTTCCAGTTCAAGTCTGCACAGATCTTTCCAAGGAGGAAAAAGCAATTTACCCTCACTGATAGCAGTCAGCTGTGTTCACACTGACATGCAGTGTCAGGAATCACTGTAGGATTGTTTTTAAAGCTTATTCTAGGCATGAATATAAGATACATGCAGGAAGGTTCTCCTTGATTTGTGGTGGTTCTCCCACAGCTGTTGCTGCTCCATCCAGCTCACGAGTGGTTATTTAATTAGTGATCTAGACCATACAGAGCAGGTTCATTCATCTTCTCCTAGGGCAGAGTTACAAAACCTCACAGTAGCACAAGTGTTGTCACAGTCACTACTTCACATAATGAGAGGAGGTCACCAAGTATCTTTGGCCTTGCACTATTGACAGTTTAATGAATAGGCTTTGGGAACATCTGCTCAAACATAGTCTTTACCCCTTATGGGGTAGTTCAAAGCTTTCAAGTATCTGTCACCCTTCTGTTCGACTCAGAGCCATGGTTCAGCATCTATTCAGCTCACACAGGAGGTCATTTTCTTTGCAGCCCAATTGGCACAAACTTGGTGACAATTTAATGTCAGTGTTTATCGTGTTTCTGTATCTTCAGATCTGAAACCAAAGTTATTTTAACTCCAAATTATTTGTAGGGAAGATTTTTTTTTTTTCCAAGTTCCATTTTGGCAGGAAAAGAAATCCTCCTTTTTAATTTCATATCATTAAGCTGAATACAGCTATCTTAAAAGTTCAGGGGGGTTCCTTTCTGACTGACATTCTCCTTTATAGCAAAGCTGGAAAACAAACCCTGGCAAAGAATCATCCAGTGAAATGGTGGAACTGTCTCCTACTGAGATGTTTCTTTTAGAAAAGGCTGCAACAGATAATTTGGTATTGCTCAAAGTCTGAAAAAATCCTTCCTAGAGCCATCAGTTTGACCTTTTAAATTTGTGGTGGAACAAATGGTTCTTATTTAATGTAAGAACAGCCAGACCCAAGTCATTGGTGCCAATGTACAAAATTCTGGAGCTTTTTTTGCCTGTGTGTATGGCCAAAGATACCGGGTGAACTTGAGATGACCTCTGGATGGACCAAGTGGTCATATCTGGAAATGTCTTTTAGGACAACATTCCCACTGCAAAGGCCTCCTGCCAATCACGACAGCACTGGGTATCCTGGAGAGGTGGTGGACAGGACAGCGTTTCTGGAAGAATCTCTGCTCCTGCAGGGTATCACTCACTCAGGAGAACCCACAAGCTGTCACTGCGTTGCTCTCGCTGATCTCTCAGCACAGAAGTTGAGAAATGCAACTCCTCGATTCACCAACCCCACACAATCCCCGCAGCACGGAGCTGCAGGCTCAGGATTTGCTGAGAGCAGCTGAAAAGTGACAGTGACACTGAACTCTGAGGCTCTGACGGGGTAGCAGCTGGTGTTCAGTTCTGCCTCCGCGCTCCGCGGTGTCCTGCACTCCCCTCCATGGAGCAGCCCAGAACAGTCGTGCCAGGGAAAATCCATGCAGGTGCACAGGGTTGGGACTTTTGCAGCTGAAGGAATTCTTCAGCGTTCTGGTTCTCTTCAGCCTTTTACTGCATTGGTTCAGAGGAAAAATATACGGAGATACTTGAATGGTGGCTATTTACCACGTTCATTAAAGAATAGAGGGGGGAAAGGGACTCAGCAACTTGAGCAAACACAGTTTTACATAATTGCCTTTGATTTTTAAAAACAAATAAATAAATAAATAGCCTAGCTCTGGCTGGGATTTGCCTGAGGGACTACCATGAATGAGTTACATAACCCAGCACTCATTCATCAGCCAGTTCCTTGCAAAACCATATGGCTCCTTGCAGGGATTTCTTTAAACATTATGCAAGGGTATGAAATCGGTGCCTTTGTAGATGGGAAGTCTGTTGCTTGAGGCTCATTTTGAAATTCTGTTTCCAGATAGTACAGCAATTCTACTTCTGCAAATAATACCCTAACAGAAAGCAGTTGTTGAGGCACTTTCAATCAAATGAGGAAGAGAAATAGAAAAAATAAGGAATAATGAAAGAGTAAACTGATCTAAACTTCAAAGATGAATGGTGCCATTCTCTGCGTGAATTTTACATGGAAATCCATTTTCTTTGTCGAAAGGCAGTGGGGAAAGGAGAGAAATATTGTTAAAAAGCAAGTTGTCATTGGTTTGATGTATTGAGAAATAACAGAGCAATTGCAAAATCTATGTGTTCATTTACTGCAGTAAATTTGAAGATATAAGTTTATTTCTTGTGAAAAGTGCTCAGTGCTGTCTTTCCCAATCACAGGAGCCAGCTGACAGACCTGCAACACCAATTCACACACGTTGCTTCCAACACATGCCTGAGCTGTGGATTCATGGAAACACTTTTCAGTTATCTTACATCATTTTCAAACGGGAACAAATCGAAAGAGGGGAATTTAAATTAGATATTAGGAAGAAATTCCTCCCTGTGAGGGGCGGCAAGGCCCTGGCACAGGTTGACCAGAGATCCTGTGGCTGCCCCATCCCTGGAAGAGCCCAAGGACAGGCTGGACGGGGCTTGGAGCAGCCTGGTCTGGGGGGAGGTGTCGCTGCCCATGGCGAGAGGTTGGATATTTCATGTCCGTTCCAAGCCCTCGACATTCCATGGGGCACACGCTGTGACTCTCGGGGATGGCCCTCTGCAGGTCTAACAGTCGGGCTCGACGACCCTCGTGGGTCCCTTCCAACTCAGCATATTCTGCGATCCTGCGTTTTTACGACTCTGTGACAACGAGTGTTCGTGAACACCAAGGTGTTAAACGGGGGGTTCAACCCTCCCAAACCGGGGCGCGGCTCCTTTAAGGGCTCCCTCCGCCCTTCCCCTGTAGGCGCTTCCGGGTGCCGGCGCGTCACGTGGGCGGGGCGGTGGTACGGGCCGGGGGGGGGGCGGGGGATGGAGGACGGTACCACCCGCCGCTGGGCGGGGGGGTGGGTGGAGAGCCCCGATGGGCGGGGCTTCATTGAGGGGCGTGGCCTCCTCTGAGGGGCTGGAGTTCACTTCCCTGGTGGGCGTGGCCAGCGAGGGGCGGGGCCATTTCTGAGGGCTGAACATGGCGCCGCCCAGACTCGGCCGGGCCCGCTGGCGCTGCCGCAGCTCGGCCGGGGCTCTCCCGGGCTGAGGAAGGTACTGCCCGGCCGGGCGAGTGTCTCGGCAGCTCCGCTGCCTCGCTGCCGGCCGACATGGACCAGCGCCTGGCCGAGCTGGTGGAGGAGCTCACCACCTCCGGGGAGCCGCGGCTGGAGCCGGGCAGGATGAAGGAGCTGAAGAAGATCTGCAAGTACGGCGGCACGGAGGGAGCGAACCGGGGCCCGCTGCCTCTGCCCGGGCCGGGCAGCCGCGGAGCGGTCCCAGGAGCCGCCCTGGGCCTTGCTGTGGGGGGCTGGGTGCTGTGGAGGGCCTGGGTGCTGCCAGGTTTAAAATTTAAAATACATTAAAAAACCCCACGAACTTCTGTTTTGTCATTGCTGAGCCTCTCTTTAAGTAACCCCCCGCTCCTTCTCCTTCCTCGTCTCCCTGCCCAGGTCGTCGGAGGAGCACATCAGCCACGCCTTCCACCTGCTGGTGACGCGGCTGCAGGAGGAGCACGCCGAGATGCGCTTCTCCGCCTTCCAGGTGGTGCAGGAGCTCTTCACCAGGTCCCACCACTTCAGGACGCTGCTCATCGCCAACTTCCAGGAGTTCCTGGAGCTCACGGTGGGCATAGACCACGAGCAGCCCCTTCCCCCGCCCAAGGAGGTGGCGCAGAAGCTGAGGAAAGCGGCCATCAAGGCGGTGCAGGACTGGCACGAGAAGTACGGGGAGGCTTACAAGCAGCTTTCCCTGGGATACCACTTCCTAAAGCGGAATAAGAAGGTACTCTGCCTGTAGGACACACCCTGTGGACCGTGTTCTTTGGAAAACAAACCTTTTCGGTTCATCCTTCAGGATTGTAAAGTTTGAAAAGCCCCAGGCTTGTGATCGTAGCAGGGCTCAGCCTTTTCTCAGGGTGTAAGAAGTATTTGCTTTCACCCACTGAATCCTGCCTGGAGCCCCAAGGTTTAGGCCTTTTTTGGAAGGGAAATAATGGTTATGCTGTAAACCGAGGATAACCAATTAAGTCCTTCTGTGCCAGTTTAAACTAACCTGATTTCTGTACTGAGCTATCCAGTTGTAGCTTCCCTTTACTGTGCAGCAGAGACAGCAAGTGTGGATGTTTGCCCCCACCAGCTGCAGTGTTACTGTGCCATACAAGAAGTTTTACTAAAGAGAAAATTTCTTGCATGTAACCACTTGCTTTTAAATCTCCCCTCAAGGCTTCAAGTTAGTGTTTGGAACATACTGCTGCTTTTGTCTGTCTTCTGCTGCACAGAGAATGAAATTGGGAATGCTATTCTAGCATTCACATGATCCGTGATGGTAACAGGCTTTCAATAAACATACTGATTTTCTTGCTCTTCAGAAAGACAGATGTTCAGTGTTCCTAACAGTACATCCAAAAACCTTTGTGATATGTGATGTGTTCCTGTTGTTCTGGTTCCACACTAAGCTCATCGTGTTCCCTACTTACTACAGTCTGCTGGTTTTTTAATACAGTTTTTGGCATCTGCTCCCTAAAGATGATTGTCTCTGGATTCTCCTTTTTTGTCTTGCTTAGTAAAGAAAGGAAACTAAAGGACAGTGACGAGGAGAAATGCGAGACTGAGACAAGGGAGGTTAAATACATAGCACGGTTTTACCCAGTGGAACACAAGTGTACAACAATTCTGCTGGAGTCTGGCAGACCTGGCTGTGCTCCTGTGGGCAGTTAGGACTGAGGGATCCCTCCCCATGTGATACAAGCTCCCCAGCGAGGCTGGCTGTGCTGTTTTCTGGAGCAGCTGAGTTTGAATTCCTCTGGAAACATTAGGAACAATCTCAGGTAGTTTGGTATCTCGTGTACTTAAAGACTTGATGTGAGCCAATTGGCCTTTTGCTGTTTTAATGCTTGGAAGTGTGGAAAGCAACCCAAAGTTTTGAGGAGGCATTTTGACCTCTCCTTTTGAGAGTTACAGGTTTGGCACAGCAGTATAGGGCAGCTTAGAAGTGTTAGCTCTGTGTGTGGTTTGTGGTTTTGGTTGGCTTTTTGTTTTTTTTTTAATTATCACCAAAACCATTTTATAAACAGTCAGAAGATGCTCTCCTACTTCTGTGTGGAGAGCTGTGCAAGCTTGGTAGAAAAAATCAGATCCTAAAACCTAAAAACCAAAGGAAGCTCACTGGTGATCCATGTGCTGCTGTAGGCTGTGAGTGTAGTTCCTTTCCCTACCATCCTTCTGCCCACCCATTCCCCACTAAAAATTAAGAGCTTGGTGCGAGTGCCTCTCCTCCTAAACCGCTCGGGACTCTCCATGCCAGTTTCTGTGACAGCTGTTTCACAAAAATCACTTCTGTGGCTCCAGAACTTTGGTGGAGGATGTCGATATCTGGGAGCCATTACTGGACGTGCTGGATCATCTAAGAGTGGCAGTAATGACAGACACCTTCAGTGAGTGCTTGTGTCTGTAAATATTGCACCAGAGAGTCTGTGGGCTTCAGCATCAGCAAAGTGCAGGCTTGCTCAGCACTCCGTGTCACCTGTGTTGAAGTGAATAAAAGCTCTGTGGTAGCAATCAAAGGATTGCTGTATTTTTCTTTTTCGAAGGGGTTTCCTTACCCAGTAACGCAATCAATACTCCCTTCCTTAAAGCAGGAGTGAAAATTTACATTTTCAAGCCCTTCCAAGACCAAACTAAAAAAAAAAAAAAAACAACAAAAAACCACAAACAAAACACAAAACCAACCCCACACTGCAAATATTTTAAGAAACACCATTTTGAGTTGCTCAGATTTATGTTTGTATTTTACTCATAAGAAAGGGAGACTGAATGTTGACTTTTCGCTCAATCCCGAAATCCAACAAACCTAATTGTAAAATCACAAATTTGGTCTTTTTTTGTTAAGTAAATTTGAATGTATTTTACTTTCCTTGCTTACAAAGCTCTTCAGTAAGTGAGATGTATACTTGTGGTAGTAGTGCTTACGAATTTTCCTGGATTTCTTTTACTAATAGTGGATCTAGTGTAATGTTTTCATGTGATCTTAACGTTTACCCTGCATAGTCTGTTCCTGCCCACTCTCCCTAAATCCTTGTCTCCAATCCTGTGACAAAAGTCTCCCAAAGCCTAGTTTATTCCTGCACTTCAGGGGTGAAAATCTAAGTGTTTTGTTTTTCTACCTTATGATTCCTTTCTGAAAGCCATTGATTCTCAGCAGTCCCTTATTAGTAGAAATAAAAGCTCTGTTCAGAATTGCTGTAGTTATTGATTCGAGGAGGAGAAGAGATAAAAGGAAATGCTGCTGAGCTTCTGGCTGATCGCTGGTGTTAGAGGATTTTTCACCACAGATAAGGATCTTAGGAAATGGATTTTCTATATATTTCTTACGAGGGATGTTACACTTTTTTTCCTCATTTCCTCCTTAGGTGGATTTTCAAGATGTGCATGCCAGAACCGTGGCTGAAAGGAGGAGGGAGGAGGAGAGGCAAAAACGGCTGGATAACGTTTACAAAGAAAAAGTCAAAAGAACTGAAAAGGAAATGGAAGGTCAGTTACTTCAGTTCTTCTAGTGGGTTTTTGGTTTGGTTTGGTGTTTGTTTCTAAGAAAGGAAGTGTTATCAAGTAAAGGTGTGGTCTGTACTTCAGTCAAGTATGAATGCATAACCCCAAGCAAACATATCACGAGACTTTTCGGAGCTGGTGACTTGATTTCTGTCATTAATTAAGCACAGACTTCCCGATACCTTCTGGGCTGATGACATTAATTATATTATATATACAATCATTGGTTCCAGAAGTATAGGCATAGGAATCCTGGATACAGTGCAGGATACCTATGAAGATTATCATACTGCAGCTGGAAAATATATATTTAACTAGGGGTTAAGCCCCCGAGATATGTGCACAGCAAAAACATTTCTGTAATGCCAGAGAACAACACAGATAGTTGGTATGTTATGCTGCAGTTAGAAAGGGTTATTTAATTAAATTACTTCATTATATGTGATGCATCCAACTGTGTCTGCCTTTATTCTGCATGCTGGAAATGTTTTCACGCATGAGAGTGGAATTTTAAAGAGATTCAACTTTCTTAAAGTAATTTTTATTGGTAGCATCTCTTGGAGAAAGAAATGGCTACACTTATGTGCACCTATAAAATTTGTAGCTGTAGAATGAATACTCACCAACATCACTAAGAATATCCTCACCGTTTTCCTTCAGATTCTATGAAGTACTTGTGTCATCCTTGCATACTGAAATTTTAGAGAGGATAGGGAAGGGTGGAACCCTGATTCTACATTTCTTGCTCAGGAAATTCTAGATTTCCTGCTTAAGAAAAGTACTGTCACTTCTATAAGGACAGTTTCTGCGGCAGAGGGAGGTGTGGATGGCTGAATCATCACTGATCACTGGATAAATGGATTCCCCCCTTTGGCAGTCAGATTTGTTTTGTAACTCAGTGTCTGCTTTGGAGACATTAACATTTTACAGTATTTAACAATATTCTAAAACAATTGTCTTGATAGAAATGTCCCAGGAGATTGCTGATACACTGACAGAGATGGAAAACTGTTTCCAGCTTCTGATGCCGGATCCTTTCAACTTCGCTGTGAACGACGCGGAACTGGAACCCGACAAGCAAATGTCTGCATCCCCCTCCTCCTCCCGGGGGGAAGTTGACCAGTCCTGTTTTGGGTACAGGGATGATGAACAGCCATGCTGCAGCAAGGACATTCTTCCTGTTTCTCAGTGTGTCAGAACTGATGGAAACAAAGAGTCAGATGAGAAGCAGGAGAAGCGTGAGCAAAAAGAGTTGGGTGGAGGCACACGCTCAGAGGTTCAGTCCGGTGACCCTGCTCTCAATGATGATGATGATGATTACCAGACTTTTGTTAGGAACCACGGGCTTATTTCACATAAGTACACTCTAGACCTTGAAATCTCCACAGGTACCTGGAAAATTTTTTGACATATAGCTGGAAGTGCTACTTTCACACTTTGTGTGAAGTGCTTTGTAGTTGTGGTTTTGGGTTTTTTTTCTATTACTTAAAGGCTGGGGTTGCTGGGCACTATTTTGCTTTGGGATTCCTAGATACCACTTTGTTTTATTTTGGAGTTCTTCTGTTTCTGCTTCATCTTGTAACTGTTCTTTGAAATTTTTGGTGTTCTTGTGTGTGAGTAACAGATTTTACTAATTACCTTCTAAGACTGAAATTTTGTATCAGTTGTTCATAGTACCTATAATAAGATGAGTTTCCTGTTTTTATTTGGTGATTCTTTAGTTATGATGGCTTAACAGCTCTTTCTGGCATCACTGGACTGAAAACTTCATATTTTTCCCGGATTTTTTGAATATGTGGATAATGGTAGAATAACTAATACTGAACAGAGAAGCATTCTGATGTTTGTACATTTCCCTGAAGTGATCAAATATTTTAGAAGGATTAATGTCTAAGATACATAAACGTCATGCTCTAACTCTTTTTTTCCCCTGTTTTGAGCAGATATAAAAGTGCAAGAGAATGAAGATAACACTGCCATCATAAACAGTGTCATGGATGCTCACAAACTTCTCAGAAATAAATTCTGGCCTTCTATACAGTCCTGGATTCAGGTGGGATAAAGAGATATTTTTTTTTTTTTTAATTTTTCAATAAAAAGATGGTGGAACAAAGACTGGGGTGCAGAAAGTCTTGAGGGAGAGTGAGCCAAAAGGAAAATAAGGTCGAAGAAACATAGGAGCAACTAGGAAAGATTTCTGTTTCAGTAGGGGTGGACCAAAGGAGGCTGCAGGAGCTGTGTAACTTGTTTGATAGCTCTCAGCCTTGGGTGTGGTACCTACAGTCAATAATGTGGTGTTTTTTTGGTTTTTTGTTTTTTTTTTAAGGTAGGGTAAAATAGGGCTTTTTGCAAAGCAATAAAGTAAAACACAGCTTGTTTTTGTCAGACACCTGTCTATCAGATAAACAGCATGCCCTGGAGCCTCCTGCATGGAATTTGGCCTGTGGAAGGACACTCTCAGAAGATGTTTGTAATAGCTGTTCATTATTTGTCTTCACTAATTGCTGTTGGTTTTTATAATCTGTATAGGAAAAGAATTGGCTTTGCTAATTGTTACTTGTAAAACAAAGGAATTTGTGACGATGTCATTTCACTAATTATGAAGGAAAAAATAAAAATTTTGTTTTGCTCAGATGTCTAGAAAAATGAGTTAGAACATTGTTTTCTTCCTTTGCAGTTACTCACCAGAGCAGGAATCAATGATGATCGGCTAAGATGTGCCATTGAACTCAAGAATAAACTGGAGGCTGCTATGAAGAAATACAAGGAAATGAACATTTCCTTCAAAGCAAGAAAAAGAAAAGTGGTGAGTTTCTCGAAATTACTGGAGAGGACCCCATTAGTAAATCTTACCTTGTATACAAAAATAGCTCTTTTCTCTTAAGCTCTAATCTGGGGAACTTTTCAACAGAAGCTTTATTGAAAGGTACATTAATTTAGCTGGTTGTAGCTTCACTCAGGGAGGTTGCAGTAAACACCTGTATAATATGCCAGTGGCCTGGTTATTAGATAAAACCATTTAAAGCATCCCTCATGTTGTTTAGGATAGAGAAGTGGATAAGTGCAGATTTTATTTATTCTTAGTTTCTTCGTGTGGAACACTGTTAGGTCCTCAGCTTCTTTTGTGCATATTTCTCAGTAAACACTGTAATACTCATGTTCTTTTACAACTTGCAAAACTATGTGAGTGTCTGTCAATTCAGTAGACAAGTTTCTCTGCTTTGCAGCATTTACTCTCTCTAGTGAGCATGTGATGTGATGGAGGTTACCATAAGAGAATTGGTTATTATGTAAGCTTTAGAGCATTAAACTGTTTCACAAAGATTAACTACCTGTGACAGTTCTTGTGAAATAGATAGAACTGGTGAGTAAACAGAGGCTGGAAGATCAAGTACGTTACTGAGATGCAAAAAGGAGTCTAATGGCTTGTTTATGCAACTAAAAAGCAGAGCTGCATAATACTCATTTCTGTTGGCTATGATCAGATGAAATTACTGTATAGCTTGACATGAAAATAAGTGGTTTGGGTCAGGGGTCAGACTAGAGTCTGGTTTGGATTTACTGGATTGTAAGAATCTGATCTGGACATTATCCTTTGGACTACATTGTGGTAGCCTCATTTAGCCATGACTGAGTGTTGCAGACTTTGCTTTCATTGTGCAAATGGAGCTTAATCAAGATTAATCTGGTTCATCATTTTAACACCTGCTGATGTGCCACACCAGTCAAAAATGCCAACTCTGAATGAAAAGACTGTCTTGTCAGAGCTCTTTTTTCTCCAGTGAAATATGTGTGCTACCTTTATGCAACCAGCTATGAAGGAATCCAGACATCTGCTGTCATTCCTGCCATTTGCTTGACAGGGCTTCATTTGCTGCACCTCTGCATGGAATATTGGTTGCTATATTTCTTACAAGATATAAAGGACATTCAAGCCTTGATTTTCGTGTGTGTGCGTGTGCATGTGGATGTGTTTGAAGTGGCATTGTTACCACTTCTAGAGAGTGATCAGTGCTATCTATATGCTTTCATAGCATGTTTATAACTAATACCTCTATTAGGTTGAAAGACTAATAAATTCCATTGTTAAAAGGGAAAAAAAAGGAAAATAATAGCAGTGCTCACAAGGAATACTTTCAAAATGGAGCAATGCAGATTGAGTTAACTTAAGCATTGAAAACAATATATAATTATACCTAGGGTTTTTCTCCAGTGGAAAATAACCAAATTTAATGTTAGTGCTGAGTTATTTTAAATTTATAACCTGAACATAAAGAGCTTTGTACTGCAGAAGGCAACTGTATAAATTATATTTTATTCATGTGTCAGATGACTTTACTGAGACGTAAAAACATGGTAAATTGAGAGTCTGATAGAAACAAAACAAACAGAATCTCTTAGACCACGGTTATTAAATCCCCGTCTGTCAAATATTTACATGTCAGCATATGAAACACTACACACAGCTCCTCTTTAGTTCAGCATTGCTGCCTTGGTTATGTATTGTGGCTCTGTCTGTCCCTGTGTCCTTGGAGCTGTAGCTCTTGCCATGCCAAAGTTTTTCTGCCTTCTGTGTCTTTAAACCCCAGAGAAGAAGTGCTGATGGTCTGTCTGTCTTTCAGAGCCCTGGCTCTGGGCCACCCTGTCCCAACAGCATGGGGCTTTGTGGATGTTACTGGTGGCACATGGAGTCAGTGAGTGCTGTACCTGCTCAGAGTGGAGATGAGAAAAAGGGGAGCATTTATAGCAAATATAAAGCAGAATTGTCAGGAGTTGTCAGACTTTTTGCATTTTCTTTGTGCTCAATCTCCATGCTTCCGTGGTCACTGATTTCCCCCCTTTTCATCTGTTCTTTTCCGTGCTTTGTTTCTGTTCTGTGTCGGAACAGAGAGAGTAAAGGCTTTACCCATCCTCAAACTGAGATCGGGAAAGTTGATAAAGCAAAGTGTTTAGTGAGAGACAGTGAACCTGGAGACTTATGACTGTGAACTCTATTATAACTCTCAATCCTGCAGAGATTTAAATTGCCATTTAAAAGAGAGAAGGTGCTGAAGTCCCTTACCATTGCCATGTGTCATTGATACTCTTATTTAGCTGATCAGTTATACAAAGATGTGGCTGAAATGCAAATAATTGTATACATCTGGAGTAATTCTTCATTCTGCCGTTTAATATGAATATACCAGCAGTGTAGCTGGATGTGAATTACACTGAGAGGAAGAAATTGGTGGTTACCTGGCCTGCATTCACAGAAGAATCATTTTTTTTTTTGGTGCACAAGGTGTGTGCTTTTGGCAATCCTAATTATTACATCCATACTTTCCATTGTTTCCTGTTTCATTTTGCAGATCATGGAGCACTAGCCTCCAAGGCAGGACTTGTGGGCATTCACAGCCTTGTTAGAGAATTAGCACAGATTATTTTCTCTGAAGTTTTTTTTTTTTGGTTTTTATTTTTTTTTTTTTACCTCTATGGAAAAACGGAAAAGTCCCACTGCTTTGCAAAGCACAGAACTTCCTGTAGGTTTGTGGAACTTCACTTCCACAAAGTCACTTGAAGGAAAACACAGGACTTTATACAGTGAGACACTTTGGCTTAAAATGGTTTATAGTGACATGAGCTATAACCACCTCTTTCTTTTCTCTTCCTTGAGAGTGAGGAACTCAAACCATCAGAGGGCCTTAATTACAAGGAGGGCCAGCATTTCCACGTGACACTTAGACCCTGCCAACACCAGTAGCCTGTGGCACCCATTTTGCACTTGCCTCTCAGGAGCTGTGGGAGGAGAGGAAAAAGAAAAAGAGGGGGTTTTCTTTGACTGTCTAGGAACAAAACCCTCGCAGCAGATTTTATAATTATTAATACGTCTCTGCTGCCCAGAGATTCCCTCTTCCTGTTTCTGTGCCCCCAGCAGATCAGGAGTCATCCAGACGTTTTTTCCCGAGCTGTTACTGTTTCAAATGGGTGGGAGGTGGACAAAAAATGAACAGACTTGCTGTGTTGGTCAAAGGCTAGTGGGTTTTTTGTGTGCTTACACAAGTGTGGTTAAATTCTTGTTTGGGTGAATCAGGTTTCTGACAGAAATTGCATTTCGGGAGCATAAACAAGAGTTTTGAAATCCATTTTCCTGTGAACGTGTGTTTTAGCCGAATCCGGGGGGAAGAGGGCGGGACCTGTAGAAGGGCTTTTATTTCACGGTACCTGAATGCTTGACATATCCCTTTTTTCTCGGAGTGCCTGCTTGGGATAATTCCAGTGCCCAGTAGAGGGAGTGCATACTGCATGCTCCGCATTTTTCTCTGTGCCACCTTGATCCAAAGCCAGCCATCAGCTCGGGCTGTGTTTTCAGGTAAACTTACTGCAACAGCAATACACCAGAGACCCTTCGAGTTAATTCTTGACTCGATTTAGATGAGTTATTATACAACTACAGTTGTAATCATTGGCTGAGACTGGTGTAGGTATTTCTGTTTCCAGAGGCTTAATTATTTTGTAGGAATAACTTACTTAAATTGTTCTCTAAAAGTATTTTTGCTAGTTAAAAATCATTCTAGTTTTTGATGTCTTCCTCCTTTTCTTAAAATACTAGATTTTAATTGTTTTTCTTGTTTAGTATCTGATTGGCAGCTGATAAGATGCAAATGATCCTGCAGTTTTAAAAGCTGTGAGAGGACAAGTATATACTGTGTTGTAAATCATGTACACTACTTTTCACTTAGATCCTTTCCATAAAGGATTATCCATTAGGATAATACTTGAAATCTTGACATTTTTGATAGAAATGTAGCTCCTTAACGGTATTTTGTACTCTGAAAGTGTGACTTTCTGTTCTGTAATTACTTTGGGAAGTTGTGGAATGTTTAGTACTCAGGGTGCCTAAAACTTGGACAGACAGAATCCAGCAGGAAAGATGATATGAGAAACATCCCTCTCATTTGTCTGTCAGCAGAGTGGTCATTTAACAGGCCTGTTACGTGTTCAATTTTAAATTTCAAGTTACATTAACAACCAGGGATATATGGTTTTTCATTATCTGTATTCATTACTTTTTGTTTCACCTTTCCTTATCTTCTGTCAAATCGGAGCGCGCGCTTGGATCTTGATTTATTCGTGTACTTAATTTTATCCTTGTGAAACATCTGGTTGAACTCAATAATGCCATTAATAATTAGATCTGGAGGAGCCTGTCCTTGTGTTGTCCAGAACCTGATCTGATACTCAAACCTCACTGTAATACAGTTCAGATTTTTTAATGAAAGAGTAATGTCAGAAAATGGCCACAAATTTACAACTTAAATAGTTGCTGCTCATAATTTAGTCTTAAAATATTTTAATATATTAAAAGGTTAAGATTTTAATGTGTTGTAAATTAAGCCAAGAGTTCTACCAATTACTTGGCTACAAGACCACTGCTGCTTTTTTTTCCATATATCTAACTTCAGTTTGTCATTTTAGCACTGCTAGCAAGTTATTTCTATCTAATAATTTTGTAGCTTTATAACTGGCTCTTCTTAAGCCCGGCTTTTAGTGAAGTCAGTGCCTCCTTTAGAAAAAAAAAAAAAAGCTGGACTTGAATTTTCTAAAATTCAGAAGCAAAGACTGCATTGTTTTCTCTTTCTGCAGCCATAGCCAATCCAGTCCAGCTGACAGCCTTCTGTAACAGCTTCTTGTACTCACATCCCTATGCTTTTTCCTCTGTTCTTCATCTTAGAGATGTTGTTTCTGAGGGTTGAATAATTGTCCTTAGTGATCCCTCACAGTGCCTGAACCCCCACCTGCTAAAACATACAGAGACCACAGAGCAAG